CACAGAGTTTCATACTGGAGGGGGGAATGAGTGAAACACTAGGAAATATCCTATGAAGACAAGTTCAGACTGTCATTAGGGGAAACAAGACACATGGGTTTTTATTTTCTGTTTTGCCCTGAAGAATCGTGAGAATCAAAGCTCAACTAAAAAATTGCAGTTTCAGAGGAAGTGCCAGTGGGGGGAAAAAAAAGGAAACCCATACTTCAAAGGAGTCTGGATTTCATCCTTGTATCATCTCAATTTAAAGAGACGAGATATCAGTAATAAAATAGCAAAAAGTCTGCAATTTTTGCAAAATTGAAACCAGAAAAATTCAAGAGCAGTAATAGTGAATTTAAATATATTATAAATGCTGACTTGGGTTGGTGAGTACAGATCTAAATTCCCCCACTCTAAGGCGTGATTGCTGGTGTGGTATTGGTAGGTACTTGAAAAAAATTGAAGGGAGAGATGACAGGGAAACCAAAGGCAACATTAAACACATTCAGGCCTCTTTTCATCACCGCATACTGAATTAACTTGTTATCTAGTAGCCAAATTGTGTTGCATTCTGTTTTCCTTGCTAGTTAAGTCTACCTGATGCTTGTAGCTTGATTGGATTTCTTCCACCCTGTGTAGCTGCACATGTCTAGTATGCAAAGCAAACAAACAAACACAACAAGCAAATATTTCAGAGGTGAAGTTGTGGCACTGGTTAATGCCAGCACCTCATTCCCCACTAGTCTGCCTCAGGAGACCTCGAGTTGCAACTACCTTTTTACTTTTTTCTTTTGTCAACTGAAAGCCATCGTACTCACCTCAAGTCATTACTTTTTGAGGTCTCAGGGGTCAGCATTTCAAGATACAACTTTATTAAGAGAATAAAAGCCAAGCTTTACTAGGAGGTAGCAACAGTTAGTGTGTGAATCGGCTAAAATCCCGTGGGAAAAAATCACATAAAAAAATTAACAGATGATACTTATAAAGTTTTCAAGAGGAAGGTCTGTGTATTGCTAACAGTGAAATACAACTTCTCTTTCAAGGGCTAACTTATTATTTTCTTCCTTTTTATAACTCTTTTTTTTCTTCCCTTTTTTTCTTTTTTTTCTTCATCTGTGAGTGAAGAAAGGTCTTTTGTTTTTTTGTTTGTTTGTTTTTGTTTTGTTTTGTTTTCTTTCAGGAAACTGTAGGTCAGCTTCCCCTTTCATTCAGTCTTTCATGGTGGCATGACTTCTGTTGACCTTGTCTGAATAAAATCTTTCCAGGGCTATGTCAGACATCTAGGTCAGTTCCAAATCACCCACATCCTGAAAGTGCATAAGGCAAGAGTGGTAGCATGTCCCCGGTTCGTTGGATGTTTTTGTGAACAAAAAATCATTGCCCCTAGACTGGGAATATGTGTATAAGTGACATCCTATGTTATAGATCAGCTCAGAGTATCGGAGTGGACGTTACTGTTCATTGGGCAGATGAGGATTCATGACAAATCTCTGATAGGTTTTCCCCCTTATTGGCGGAGCGATATTCCCACCAACGCCTCTGGCCTGCTGATGGCATCAGCAGCCGCTGTGTAGCTTGGGACAAGCAAAGTCCTACCTATTTAGGTAAGCTTCTGTGATGACAGATAACTTGTTTTGTGATGGGCATCTTGGAATCAAGCATGATTCTCATTTTAACTGTTTTTGGGTAAGTAGTGCCTCTTCCTTTGCTGACTCTTTTGCCCTCCCTGAACTGACTCTCACTAAACCCTGCTGCCTTTGCCAATTCCATCCTTCAGATGGGACAAAAGATGGAGGTTTATAGTGATGTGGGTGTTTAAGAACTTTTTTAGCTGTTTTATTTTCCCCTCTTTAAATGCCACAGTCAGGCTCAGAGAGTGAGTCTCTCCTACGCTCCATGTGAGCATGAGAAGCAGGTTGTATTTTATTACTTCAACTTAAAGTTAATCCTTTGCATCTTGTGTTCACATGATCAATGAAAAGACAGAAGGAATGAGGTGAGAGTAAGTGATAATGTCTTGGCATTTGACACTTAAAATGAACGTGTGCTTGTGAAGTTCTGAGTCATTAATTCTTTTTCCAGCCAGCTGTGTGGCTTAGCAATGCTCTTCAATACTGTAATGGATTTTAGATTAGACAAATAACCCAGAATAACAAACACTTTATTGTTCAAAGGAAAGGGAGGTTTTCATTTGTTTAACATTTTTGTATCAACAAGTGTATGAAAAACTTGCAAGTTTTTGAGTTTTTCACCGTCACTTACATTATACAGTAATCTTAAGGACACAAAATGCCCCAAACCACGTTCCTTGTCGTAAATCTATCTTCAGGACTGAGCTGCACAGAACATAAAACAAACTCTGGAAAATCCCATTTTATAGCAGAACAGGGTTGGGAAACACCCTGTTTTCCTTTCCTCAGTCTCTCAGAGACTACTGCAAGCCACTTCAGGTGTTGTGAGACTAACTATACTGGTGTGATACTGTAAATTGTTTCATGGACTAAAGATAGATATAGAGACCACATCCCTGAAGCCCGGAGATGCATAAGAAAATGTGGAATCTACATCAGTCACTGACAACATATCCTTTAAGGGGTTTCGAAACACAGAAACATTTTATTCCAAAGAAAAATAATAAGTATCTGTCCTTTTTAGTCCCCTTCTGTGGATGTTATCACAAGAAACAACTTATTCCACTGATATTACCATACCCTTCAATTTAAGATGAATGAACTATCCTCAATCCATACAATAGCTATTACAGTAAGAAGGAAACTGCACTATGTTTAAAAAGAAAATAAAATGAAAACTCAACAACCAGGGTATATCTTTCATTCTTTAGATTTCATCAGGTCTGCATTTTCCCAAAGCATTAAAAATGTCTGCGTGTGTATGAAATGGGACTAGCATTTTATCCATCAAGATCCCTCTCCTTGTAATGGCACAGCAGATGGCTGGGCAATATTACTTCTCACAAAAATGATTGCTAATCAATCTATGTACATGTGTTGTTCACTTCACCCACTCAGCTAAATAAAGTTCAACAGCAGAGCGCACCATGGAATTTTAAGCTTTTTCTGAGCTTTTAGCCCAGCAATAGCATACACATTAAGAATCAAAACTACACCCACAACAACATTTTGAATTTGTATAAAATGTATCAAATCCTGTTGAAATACACCAGGCTCATAAAGATGTATTTCTGTCTTTCACCTGAGGTGTTTCCTTTCCCTTAGCTGTTATAACTTGCAACTCCTGCAGTATGCTGTCCTTTGTTAGCTATGAACAATTAGAACAGTGGCTTGGGTAAATGTTGACTATGCTGTTGCACTTTTAGCAGTAATGCTGCAAGTATTGCTGGAACCTCAGTTCAGATAATTGATGTCTCCAAAACAAGCAGTCAAGAGCAGAGGAAGCTGAAGTCTACTCTGTTTTACCAGTTACACCTCCATGAGATTTGTCTCCCTCAGATTTTTTGCATAATGTCTCTGGCTGCAGTTTTTCTTCTTTGTATAACAGTTGACTTGGATTTGCATTATGTCTTCTCGGTAAGGCTATCTGGGTGTAACTGAAAATGTAGTTTACGTTGCATATTCTTACACACAGTGGCTGAATGTTGGGAAATAATAGCTGTGTAGATACAGATCTCTGTGTGTGTCTGTATATGCTTGCTATCTAAAACCCCACTATTTTCTTGCTTTTAGTCTATGTTCCTCTGATTTTTGAATTCATATTCTGAATACATATAAACATTACTCTTTTTACCTGGGAACCTTTATATTCAAAAGTACTTTTTCTGGCTTTTTTTTTTTTTTTAACTAATGCGCTTCATAGAAGTTTTTGATGTTCCTAATCTCCTTCTGCCATTCTTCCAGATGAAAGGTGCTTCTTTAAGTGAAAATCCCCTAACTTCACATGCAGGAATAGCTGGGGAATTCTGAAGCAGTCTGAACTGAACTTCTAGGCATTTAGGCATATAGGACTAGTCTGCTGCCAGCGATATTTTCCTTTTCAAGCTCATGATTTTGTTTCCTAAATTCTACTGTTCAACTGCATTGGCTTCTTACAGTGTTTATTTTTCAGTCTGATTTTAGCAAATCCTACTCTACCTCCAGTATCTCCTATACCAGTGAATGTCTCCAGGTGAGCAAAGGGGTGGAAGAAGGAATTTTCTATGATGCTGATGAAGTACAGGTGAATAAATAAGCCTGTGTTTCATTCTTGTATCCAAAAGATCGCCCTCATTTTTTTTTAGGCAGATCTCAATTTTTCTTTCTTCTCTTTGCCTTTTTCTTCCTCCCTCTGCTCCGCCCCACCCCCCACCCCCGCCCCTTACTCTCTAGGTGTCCAATACATCTTTTTTATTGTTCTTTTTCATTTTCTCATCCCTGATGTTGTCCTGCAGCAGTGTTGTCCTCGGTAGCACCAGCTCCTGTAGGATATTCAAAAGCCATGTGGACATGGTCATGAGCAACTGGCTCCAGGTGTCCCTGCTTGAGCAGGGGGGTTGGATCCAACGATTTCCAGAGGTCCCTTCCAACCTCAACTCTTCTCTGATTCTGTGGTCCTTTGTTATTTTTCTGGTAATGACAGACTGTTCTGATAAAGCTAGTGAGGAAGATATCATTAAATTGGAATGAACTATTTTAACACCAGTAATCTGAAACACTTCTGAAGAGGAAAAGCAGGCTGCACCATCAGGGTAAAAATGATAGATGTTTTCAGCTTCAGAACAAGTGAGTGAACATTGCAGTAGTTACCTGTTAATGCTCAGGATGTAACTAGTGGAACTGCAGCTACAAATGGGACATCTACTAGCCATTCGTTAAGGAGAGTAAAGGGGTTTTTTGGTTGCATGATTATATAACACAGGAAAAGACAGCACTTTCATGATGGCAGGACCTTGTCTGAGAGTCAAGTGGTTATCTGCAGGAGATAAGATGGATCTGAAGAAGATACCAAACTGCTGAAAAGAAGTTGCGTTTTTTAAATTTATCTTTCTTTTGTTCTTCAAACAGTGGAAGCTCTACATTTGGGAACACTGATGGCAGCACATGGCTATTTCTTTCCAATCTCAGACCATGTTCTAACACTAAAGGATGATGGTACATTTTATCGATTCCAGGTAAGTGTTTTCAATATGTTCTTGACTTGCACAAATGGAGGCTCATATTAAAGGCCTTACACAAAGCTTCAAAGCAAATTTTAACCATACTTTGTCTCTTATGTAACCTAGTAACTGGTGGCAATTCCCTTAAAGTAAAAAATTGTAGAAGGATTTTATTTAGAAATTAAGTCAATAAAGATGATAGTGTCCATTTTAATCCCTGGAAAAAGTGTGATAATGTTAAGCGTGGAAGTATCTCCCATGAAATAAATTAATATTTTGAAAATATAGCAAAGGAAACTAAATTATCTTATTGACTCTTATTCCTGACATAGTCTTAATTTGGAAAGGGGGAGGTATTTTACTTATTAATCCTATACCAGAAATATAATAAAAAATCGCGAGTAATGTTTATATTCTTTCTTATGTGAGGATTTCCTTTTTGGTAACAGAGTAGTACTGAAATAGTGTGTATTCTTCAAACAAGGGTAGACACATTTCTACGTTGATCTGTCAGTCCCATTGCATACAAAAAACATTCAGATGCCTCAGAACAAGCTGTAAGAATGTATCTGTACATATAATTTTACCTATACTTATACCTACATAGTTGTATTTTATTATATTAGATTTCAAACTAAGGGCTTGTGGAGAAGGAGTGTTGATTTTCTAATAATGAATAGCAGGCTAGAAGTTTGGAGAGCAATACCACCTATGACTCGAAACAAACATGCTTGCACAGTATCTGTTTATTCTAGAGAAGGAATTAACTTTGCTTGCTATGTGCCACCTTTGACAATGGTGGTTTTGTTTTGTATTGCTCTTCCTATTAGGTGGTCTTCCTGGTAGGTACCACCAACAGCTGCTCCAAGATCTTCCCTAGATACTTGTTTCTTTGAAATGATATGGTGATATGAATACCATAGTTTGGTAATCCTCTTCTATTTGTTCAGTGTTAAATACTCACAGAAAAATAATATCTAGTAGAAAAAAAATCTATTGTCTTCAAGATTATTTAAGTCTGAGCTTTGTCTTAAACATTGTTTAAATAAGAAGCCATCAAGGATAAAATAAAACTCATACGCTGGAGACTAATCATAGTGTCAAACACTGTATTAGATTAATTGCTGTACAATACTTTCAGCAACATTTTAGCTTGAGTTCTATAGGCCCACATAACGGAAGAGAAAGGTCGCAGCACCTCTGCTAGCATGATAGTATAGATTAGAATTAGCTGCACTGTGAACAACTGAGAGTATTGCAGCTAGCCTGTCGTGAGCTTTCCTCAGAGAGGTCTATAGACTACATCTTTGGACATGAAGTTTAGTGAGGGTTAGATTATAAAACGATATCAGTTGATTTACATAAGGATTTGGCACCTAGTTTTATTTTGGCTGTTTGCTACTCTGTGGCACTTTTTGCATTTTTATTCCTAAGCTAATAATGTTTTTTAAAAAATGCCATTTTATCTGTTAATGTATAACATGAGAAAAAATTCTTAGTGGTATGATACCGTTAACTGGAGTTGTACCAGCAAAATTTATGTCATTGCAATTCCACATTCCCTACCAAAATAAGGCTAATATAAAATCTGTTACTGAAACTGTTTAAATTGAAAGATGAAGACATCATACTCAATGGGGAGGAGACTTTGGCTGTAAATGTGTGAATTTTGCACTAGAAGAGTTGTTCAGGTGCTTTGGAAATAGGACCAGCTGAGTGTTGGACAGGATTCACAAATTTCTGGATATTTTAATCAAAAGAGAAAACCATGCATCTACCAGCACTGAAAAGTTTAGAAGCCATCCCTGTGGAGAAATCCCTGTCTGCAATACAAAGACCTGACTTACAAAAAACAGGCTAGCTATAATAACGTTCTCCATGCACTTCATTTTTTGTTTTCCAAAGGGTGACACATTCCCTCCTGACAGAAATATTACTTCCAATTTGTTTTAAACAACCTGCTGTTGTATAGAAATAGCTAAAAGCAGAGGAGATTGTGCTTCATTTGTGCAAATGCCCTTTTACAGGCAAAATTTTACATTTTCAGTTATTACTCTTGCCATCAGGAGGGCTATAAAATCATAGTTGTATCTGATTTTTTAAATGATGTGGCCTTAGAAGTAAAAAAGTAATTCCAGATATTCTTTGACCTACTCAGGTGTAATTAGGTTAGTTTCTGTGATAACAGTTTAATTCAGTGGGGATGGATCTAAATATTAATTGCCTTTCTCAGAAAGAGGAAATTTCTTATTAGTCTCAACAAGGCAAAGCAGAAATTTGGGGACAGTGACACTTTCTGAACCATCCTGAGCTGCTGCATTGCCTTTTCCTGGTATTTTAAGCCTGGAACCAATGAAGGACCTGAATACCTGCTAACCATCCTCTTCTACCTGAAAGCAAATAGGTCTGAGGGGCCCAAATAAGAAAAGCAAGGTGCACCTTAGAAAGCAGATCTTCCTGGGGCAAGGCATTACTCAGTGGGACATTTCATCCATGTCCACGTAAGTGATAATACGTCCATCCTGTGAGGAATGCCCAACTCACCCTCTCAGCTGCTAACCTTCTAGAATAGTCTCCCAGGGAAAGATATGTTGATTTCTCCTATGATAGGTTCTGCTGTTGTTTTGTAACTTTTAAGATGGAAGCATTAAATAGCTGAGAAAAAGTGTGAAAATGGGAACAGTTTCTTGTGATAGCATGAGTCTGGTGAAGATAATAGCAAAACTCACGGATTTTGTCAAGATGAAGATTTCACCTCTGATGTTTTCTCCTGTTCTTCCACTGGGAACACTTTTCTTGACATACACATTTAAACTTTCTGGCCTTGTTTTCCCATGCCTGAATTGGGCATAAAAATATATAACGATCATTGTAAGGATCTTGGAATATCCGCTACAAAATAGTATAGAGGATGAAGTGGCATGGATCCTTGTGTCTCAGGTGGAACTACATTGCGTCCTGCATCTCTTTGAGTCAGCCCTGCTCAGCTCCTTACCTCTTGGCTCAGTCCTGGGCGAGCCTCTGGCCGTTCTGAATACTGAGGCTGCCTGCGGCTGAATGTCACAGCTCTGCAGCCCCTGTCCACAGCCTCTCTGGATCGTCTACTCTGCTGTGAGGGAAGGGTTTTATTGGAAGCCAGATTTTACAAATAAAAAGAAGCAAGTTATCTTATCCAGCATTTGTCAGATTTTCTTTGGCAACTGCAGGTGAAAGGAGTAATTTATTGTCTCTTCAGCTCAGGCTCTGCATATGCAGGTTCTGTTTAGGTTTCAGAGAGGGAAAGATAATTTGAAATCCATGTGTCTTTCTGCCTGCAGTCTCAGTGCCCTTTTTTCTTTTTTTAACTCCCTACTCTGACACACTTCCCCCCCCACTGCTTTCCATGCTCATCCCCTTTCCAGGTTAGAAAAGAGGAGTCACTGAGCCAAAATCTGTGTTGTTTCCACCTTCCTCAACTTCTTTTTTAATAATTCTGTCCCAACTGTGGAGCACTACTTGCTGGCATCCTTCCTCTGTGGGCTTGACAGTGCTAGACCAGCAATCCTGCCCTTTTCCTTTAATAGGAAATTAAAGTTTGAGTCAACTGCCGTGAATGTAAAACCGAATTCCCACGAATTCTGCCATCCATCGTGCAAGGCATTTGAGATCATGTATAACTATTTTTTAGCAAAGACTTGATTTCTGATGTTTATAAAGACTCCCTGGTTCCTGTGAGAAGAATAGCAATAATATGCAAAGGAATGTTTATGAGGAATGATATTCCTCCCCCATCGCACTAATTAGATTTTAAAAGATTTCACAAAGTGGAGCAGCTTCAGAAACAACAATTATTTTCTTATTGCTATCAACAAGGGGTAGCTGAAAGATGCTTAATGATTTCCCTTCTCAGTAATACCGTTTAATGCATAGGAATTAATTATGTTTTATAAAAGCTGATGGGCAACACTAATTTTTACAAGTGCCTGTTTCATTAGCTCAGATATTATTATTGATTAATTTTATGGTAGGGCCAAAGTAGATTTATTTGTTTTATCACAGGATTTCTCACAATGCATAGCAGCTGCTGCTGACAATTTGTTTAATGTGGAATATGTCCTATATTACAGGATTTTGTTTCATATTACTTTATTAACAGGAGGATTAGGGATTCCTGTAGTTAGGTAGTTAGGTTTATCTAATGATATTAGTCTATAATGCAAGAGAAACAGTATGTGTTCAAGTGTGCAAAACCAGTTTTCCATCAGTGCATAAAGATCCTTGTAACAGCCTGTTTTGTTCCGAATGCTCTGAATGCTTAAATGTCTCTAAGCTCGTGTGCGCAGTGCTAGGTAAGCCTTCCTTCTCTAGCTGCTGACTTGTACTGGCTGCTTATTCAAATTACAGACACAATTAAACAAAGTGCCTTTAAAGTGTACTGATGAAAACTGGCACCATTATTTCTGCCTGGGCTGATAAACAGGACTTGACTCTCCCCAAACCGTTCTACCACCCACCTTCCTTCCGGCTATAAGTGGGATGTCATGGCAAAATGACAAATGTTCCCTGTTTAATACTTGTTCATGACAAACTGCTTCACATTGCCTTCTGAGAAAAAATCTTAAGTATGATAACTCCTTCAGGTTTTCAACATTTCACAAAAACCCCTTGATATTTCATAATCTGCTCTTTGAAAATGGTAGTGCTGATGCACAACATGTTATACCATGTCCCTAACTCTCCTGTAGGGTTTCTAGATCATGAAACAAGGCACATAGGTTGTATGATGTTTGCGCTATAGGAATATGTGATATTGTAAGGGATGTTATAATTCTTCTACAGTGTACTCGGGATATGGGAGTTGTAAGAAATAGTTAAACCAAGCTTTGTTTGCATAGTCCAGATATAGAGAAGGCCATTTGCATTGGCAGAGCCTCCTTGCATCGCTGTGGGAGTTCTTTAATTAATAGATCAGATGAGAGCATGCAACTTTCTCCTCTTTACACTCTTCCTATTCTCATTTCTGACCTAATTTCCTG